AGGAAGAGTTGTAAATGAAACACGCCCCCATTCCGTACACCAAACCATAAGTAAAGTACATGACAGTGGGGCTTTTAGCGAAGGAAGTCGCTAACAAACCTGCAATGCACAGGATTCCTCCCATAAAACATGTGATGCGATATCCAAAGTGATCACATAGATATCCAGCCAGAAAACTGGCAAACCAAACCATGGTCAGGCTGATGGAACCAACCCAGGCTGTTAAAAAGACGATTTTCATTGATATTAGTTCCTTTCATATCAGTAGTTTAAGTACTAATACAAAGTCAGCTGGATGTCTATAGGAAAAACATACTAATGGTTGTTGACGTTTCAAAGAACATTATCGTGTTCCTCTTCAGACAAGTCTAGTGTCGCAATCCCGCATCTTGTCTGCGTTATGAGCCAGGACGCACGTGGGTCACGTACTAATAAGATCTAAGAGTTTTGTGCAGCACTGGAGACCTCTTTATTACAACAATCTACGAACTAAACAGCTGCCGCTTTACCACTTGGTCAAGTAAGGTCCCTTAAGTGGACACTCCGTAATAAATGTTTAGAAAATCTGAATTCATTCGTTTACGCTTCCATGATTTCCAACGGATCACTTCAATGGATTTGCTCACTCCATTCCTGATTTTCCAGCATCACTTTACTAAACTGATGCAAAAGTTATTTTTACATATTACCTTTTTCGATTCGCAGCTCATACAGCAGATATTAATTTTAGTTGACATTACATAATCAAAAGAAAGCCACAACCTTATTGTTTATGTGAAAGACTCCCCTCATCGGTACTCTGTGGGGGGAAGACTCTTCATAAGGCCGGTTATTTAAAGGAAAGCTGTCGGAGGCTGCAATTATGGACAAACAGTGGATCACAAAAATTCATTATGGATGCGTTGTTTTTTTTTTCAATAAACAATCGTCTCCATCGTACGCTGCAGGTCTTCTTAAACAGTTTGAAAAAATTTAACGCTTTTAGTGATAAGGCGTTTAGCTCTATTTAACATGGTTTACTGGAACAAGGGTTTGTATTACCACGGCT